GATCCTTAATTAGCCTTCTCTTCCTTGCACTCCCTAGACCTCTTACATTCCAGCTAATGATTTTCATAGACAACGGTTTTGGAACTTGTTCCTAAAATCATGCCCCAAGTTAGACACTCTCCTTCTTTCCCCTCTTATGCCTTCTATATCAGAAATCAATCTCTCCACCTCTGATCTTTTCTTCTTCCTTCAGATACTTTCTGTTCTGGAATTGCTTGAGATTTCTTTTGCTACTATTGGAGTTGAAAATTACACCTACAGTTATTCAGATAATGTAAGAAAAGAAAACTGGAGAGAAAGAGAAAGAAGAAGAAAGAAGTTTCAGCAATAGGTTGTGGAAGAAGAAAAGAAGGGAAGAGAGAAAAGAAGAATTCAAACCTCTCTCTCTAGCCCCCTTTCATCACTTTTATTAATAATTCTAAGTCTGAGTATAATTACTTRGATGCCCTTAATGGAGCGGCCAGCTCTAAAGAAATAATTAAAGAAAATAAAAGACGGCCCATAACTAAGGCTCATAACTAAGAAACATAACTTTTAAATACTACCTAAAAGAAATAAAGAACACTAAGGCCCATTCAGCCCATTCTCACTACACTCCCCCTCAAGCTGAGCATAATTAAAGAACACTAAGGCCCATTCAGCCCATTCTCACTACACTCCCCCTCAAGCTGAGCATAGATGTCAATCATGCCCAACTTGCTTACTTAATGTTGAAGCTTTGCCTTTAGGACTCTCTTAGTTAGAAAATTTGTTAGCTACTCTTCTGATGCAATGAAAGGTAGGCACACCTCTCCTGGAACCACTTTCTCCCGTATAAAGTATCTGTCTACCTCAATGTGCTTAGTTCTATCATGCTGAACTGGACTATGAGCAATGTTAATAACAGGTTGGTTATCACAATACAACATTGGTGGTTCGTCACATGAAACACCCATCTCATTAAGCATCAATCTAAGCCATAACAACTCAGAAAAACCATGGGCCATAGCTCTATACTCTGCCTCAACTGAAGATCTAGCAACCAATGATTGCTTTTTGCTTCTCCAGGAAATAATATTTCCGGCTACCATAGCACAATATCCTGATGTGCATCTCCTGTCATCCACATTTCCTACCCAATCAACATCTGTATATGTTTCTACTTTCATGTGTCCATGTTTAGCAAATAATATACCCTTTTTGGGGGTTCCCTTGAGGTAGCATAACACCCTTTCTGCAGCAATCATATGTGTGTCCCTGGGAGTATACATGAATTCGCTGATGACACTCGCAGCATATGAACTGTCTAGACGAGTCATACATAGATAAAGAAGTTTCCCCAGTAATCTCTAAAACACTCCCCTGTCAACTAAAAGTTCTCCATCATCAGTTGAGAGTTTATGATTCACATCAATAGGGTAGAGGCAGGTTTAGCACCAAGTTTTCCAATCTCAGTAAGAAGGTCTAGCACATACTTCCGTTGAGAAATAAAGATACCTTCCTTGGACCTAGCAACCTCAATGCCCAAAAAATACTTCAACTCCCCTAAATCATTAATTTCAAATTCAGAACTGAGAAACTTCTTAAGAGCACTACCTTCTTTTGTATCACTACAGTAACCACAATATCATCTACATAAACTTTAAGAAATGTCACCAAAGTGCCTTTTCTCTTAACAAAGAGGGTATGATCTGATTGAGTCTGAGTGTAGCCGAACTAAACAAGAGCAGCCCTAAACCTATCAAACCAAGCACATGGAGATTGTTTTAGCCATCAAGTGATTTCTTCAATCTACACACCTTACCCTGCATTTCTTTGCCATATATACTAGGAGGAAGGGACATATATACCTCTTCAGTGAGATCACCATTCAGGAATGCATTCTTAACATCAAATTGATACAAAGCCAATCATAGCTCACTGCTAAGGATAAAAGAACTCTCACCGAAGTCATCTTAGCAACTGGAGAAAAGGTCTCACTGTAATCTATCCCATATACTTGGGTATATCCCTTGGCAACAAGCCAAGCCTTATACCTCTCAATTAAACCACCTGCACGATACTTGATAGTGAAAACCCACTTGCACCCAACAGGTTCATTCCTAGCTAGCAAGTTAACAATATCACAAGTATTGTTTTTATGAAGGGCTTCTATTTCAGTACTCATAGCAATCCTCCAATCTGGTGTGGATAAAGCTTCTGAAAGACATTGGGATGGATTGAGAGGAAATGGAGGCTAGAAAGGCATAGTAGGATGGGGACAACAAGTTGTAGGAAAGGTGTTTGGAAATACAATGAGTTGTACATTTCCTCTTACCTTTTCTCAAAGCAATAGGTCGGTCAAGGTCTAAAAACGAGGGTGTTGGTAGAGGAGGTGATGGACATGTCCTCTCTTTAGGAATCGAGAGCGCTTGAGACTCAACTAGAGGTGTGGAATCAACCTGTGTGTGCCTTAGCTTTTGCCGCTAGTACCACCTCTGAGTATAGGATGAGTGGAAACAACTAGAGGACTAGCACGAGGAGGGGGAGGAGCAGGAGTGGAAGACCTCACAGGAGAGGATCCCTCCATGGGAATGGGAGTAACTATGGAGGGCTTGACACAAGACTCAACTGGAGTTGGCAAAGGAAGGGATGAAGAAAACAACTCAAGAGATCTCTCCCCCTCAGAAGGATGGCTATAAAAAGGAATTGACTCTGCAAAGGTGACATCTATGGAAACAAACCGGGTGCCACTAATGGGATCAAAACAATAGTACCCTTTCTGTATTGAGGCATAACTAAGGAAGATAAACTTCCGAGCCTTGGGCTCAAACATGTTTCTTTTGGAACTGGGAATGTGGACATAATAAGTGCAACCAAAGACCCTCAAAGGAATAGAGAAAATCTAAACATTAGGAAAGAGGATTCCAAAATGAGATTTTAACCCCAAGACTCGAGAAGGCGTATGGTTTATAAGGTAGGTAACTGTTAAAACTGCATCACCCCAAAACTTCAAAAGAACATGAATTGCAAAAAGAATGCTCCTTGCAACTTCTGCAATGTTTTATTTTTCCTCTCTGCTACTCCATTTTGTTGTGGAGTGTGGGCGCAAGAACTCTGATGAATAACCCCAAACTTCTCACGAAGTCAAGATAGGAGGTAAGGTCCTTCTCAAAATATTCCTTAGCATTGTCTTACCAGAATATTTTGATGCGGGTATTAAACCGAGTGAGTATATGTTCAAGGAACTGTTGCACAAGTTTAGGCACTTCAGCCCGAGAGCGCATAAGGTAAATCCAAGTATATCGTGAAAATCATCAATAAACAGGATAAAATATTTATACCCACCCATACATGGTAATGGTAAGGCCCCCACACATCAGAGTGAACAATGAAGACTCAATAGACTAATTCCCTTAAATAACTCTAAAAACAATTGACTCAATGAAGAAAAGGAAAATTGACCCAAACAACTATGGCATAACATAATACGACTAGTGGACTCTGAAACAAATGTAGTTCTCCTAGGTTGTACTTGGCTCTACTCAGGCATGTCTAACAGATAGATCCCATTCGCTTCATGGCCACTCCCAATCACCTTCTGAGATTCCATATCCTAAAAAACACAATATGAAGGAAAAAATGTCAGACTGCAATTCAGGGATTTAGTCAAATTACTAATTGAAAGCAAATTGGTATCAAGTTAGGCACATGAAGAACAGATGATAAGGTCAGGGCATTATAGGTCTTAATGTCTCCCTTTCCTGTGATAGGGGCTAGGGAGCCATCAGCAAGGTATATCTTATAGGTCTTAATGTCTCCCTTTCCTGATGTTGAACTGCATGCATTTCTCTTACAAAGCCACACTTGATACATATCCCCCCTCCCAAAAACACACACAAAGAAAGAAAGAAAGAAAGAATCCTTTTTTGCCAAAATACCAACCATACTCATCATCATCATCCAAGCTTTACCAGCTATATGGAGTCAGTAACATGAATCCCTTTTTGCCATTCCAATCTGTTTAAGGCCATATTCATTGTTAAATTGTGAGCACTTAAATTATTTCTTACTACTTCAACCCATGCCCTTTTGATCTACCCCTAACCTCTTCAACTTGCAACAGATCACTTCTTTTTACTAGTGCTGTCAATGGTCTTCTCTGCACATGACACCCACCATACTCCTCATCCCCCTTATTTCCTAGTCTAGTGCAGGAGTTTTTACACAAATGCTCAAAATTCTCTGACTGATACTTATTTGACTATAATGGTATCGAGAAAAGTTGCCAATCAAAAAAAAAGTGTTAAGAAAAGGAAAGGTCTATATATCTAACTAGCTTACAATTAAACCATGCCCTAATCAAGCACATTTAAGTAAATTTTTTGGTTGGCTACACAATTAAGTAAATGTTTAGACACAAGAACTAATCGAATTTCTGGATTTCCCACTATAAAAATATTAAAAAAACTAAACTAAACTAAGTCCAGAATCATTATTGTTTGACTACAGACCAATGGATTTTGATAGTTTTACATAGATAACATTGTAGAAAAGAAATTCAATTGCAACAACATATGAAAGGCAAAACTTTCTCAAAAGATGAAAATGATGGTACAATTTTCAATATGTGAGTTCCGCTTATAAATTTGTCACCCTCTAAGTCATGCTAGTGATGATAGATTTATAGCAAAATGGGTTCAAAGGATAGAGTCATCATGGAATTTAACACTGGGTTCGAAAGTCTTGACCAATGCAGTATCATACCATATTATGCCACATTGTTAAATATCCTATGACACTAACGTGATGATGCCATGGAATGATTATAGTATAAGTGAAAAACAATAACCAATAACAGCATCTTATTTTATCAACATGGCACTGATACAACATTGCATGACATGAATGATATTAAAGCATGATAACCAATCATTACAGAAATTATTTCTGAACTCAGCTATTGAAAGATTGACCATCATCCATGGGAACAATTTCAATACATAAGATCTTTGGGTAGAACAACCAAATAATACAATTACCTCAAAGGAAGTGTAAGATTTGAATTATGGCATAACTTTTCAAGCTCCCCCAGTGCCTCCCCAATGCGATTTCCAAGTAGCAATAACTGGTAAAAGAGACCAAGTACAGCTCCAATAATTAAAAAACAAACAAAACATCCAGACAGATTGCATAAATAAAGGATGAAAAACCCAACAATTTAAATGAGCTCTACATATGGAAATATTCAAGGTTACAAAGTTAAGACGGCGGTTAAAGTACATCTAACCAATCATCCCTTCTGGGCCACTTACAAAACTAATTGTTGATCTCAGTTTACAATATTGTTAGTCAGAGAAGACTTTTGGCACGGAAAAGTTAGTTGATTCACATTAGGGTGGCACATTGGCTGAAATCTCTGGATTCATTCATAGACTTCTCAGTGGATGACCTGTTGAGAAGCTGGAAAGAGATAGCAAGTTCTGCCCAGGTTAAAATGGAAATAAGTCCCTCTTGGATACCTCTCCCATTGGGCTTCCTAAAACTGAATTTTGATGGCAGCAGCCTTGGGAACCCAGGTTTGTCAGATATTGGGGGAGTATTCAGGGATGAGGAGGGGATTGTTTCAGCTATCTACCCTGGCCCTAATGGAAAGGGTGACTCTCCAAGGGCTGAGGTCTTGGCGGCATTGGAGGGAGTTCAAAGAGCAAGGGAGTTGAACATTAGGAGACTGATTATTGAAGAGGACTTGGAGGTGGTAATAAGATGGCCAAAGGAAGACAAGACTGCTATGTGGAATTACAGCAAGGAAAGGAAAAAAAATAAATAAATGGCTGGCAAAAGATAATGAGATAAAATTCAGTTGGGTGAAGAGATCTGCCAACTCATTTGCAGATGACTTAGCAAAGCAAGGGGTGATGTAAGCTTCAAATTATGGTTTATTTCCTTTTGTTGATTATGGTTTATTTCCTTTTGTTGATTATAATCAAATAAAAGAAACAAAGCAATGGAAAAACTACAAAGCAAGTGACCATCTTAATTATCTAAATAATAGACTGATGTAAAGCAAAAAGATCAAATAAATAACAAGAGTAGATATGCAAAGCAAAATACTGAGTTCAATAATGGCATTTTCGTTCTTTCTCTTGGGATTTATGCACTATGTATCTCATCAGAATACTGATGCAAGGCTATATGCGCTGAGCAGTTTTTGGATCATTAGCAGCACCCAATATGTTCTAAATCTGACAATAGATAGGCCTCTCTCTAAGAGGGTCCACTAAGCTCCCTCCAGTGACATTACATAGTTTCATTTCTTTTCTCTTTATTGGGTTTTAACCATTTTTCTATGGTTTGTTGTGGGTCCATCTGAAGGTCATTATTAGAAAACCTCAATGGCAAAGATATAATGGTGTTTTAGGGCAGTATATATATGACTTTAGAGCTTGTGATAGTTTAGTGTTTCCTGGTGGGTTGCAGTGCACATCTTGGAAAGTTAGGGGAGGAAATAGTATTAGGTTTTGGAAGAAGACTGTGCGGGGTGGGAAAGTTTTGAGAGCGAGTTGTGTCCAAGATTGTATACTTTGAGTGAGGTGGGGAGTGGTGATTTGGTGCCCTAAAAATTGAATATCACTGTTAGATAGGGAGATTGAGGAATGTGTGTTGTTGTTGTCCAAGTTACAAGAGGTAGAGATCAGTCCAGAGAGGCCTGACACAAGAAGGTGGAAGGAGTGCAAAAGTGGCAGATTTTCAGTGAAGTCTTTTTATAATGCTTTGGCCCCTATCCCACCAAGAGTGCAAGTATTTGCTTGGTTGGAAGCTATGAATAGTATCCTCACTCAAAATCATCTAAAAAGTAAGGGATTTCAAATGGCTAATAAATGTGTGCTGTGTGGATCAAGGGAGGAAGATGTGTTTCAGTTATTATTTCATTGCTATTTTACAAGATTCATTTGGGGTTTCTTCTTCAGGCTTGTCAACAAGGATGATTGGAATTCAAAGTCCCCTAGTGAGGTATTTGCAAAATGGCTGGTTCTTAAAGTCAAGAAAACTAAAATATTTTTGGAGCCGTATTCCTTTTGAAGTAATTTGGGAGGTTCTATAGAAAGAAATAAAAGGATTTTTTAAGGAAAAAATTATTTGCTGATCAAAAAAAGTGCATTGCTGTTCTTTTATTTATATGCATGCTGATTGATATGTAAAATTAAGGAACTAACCTATAATTTAGTTTTTTTCTTTGTAAGATCCAGTTTTTTTATGAATAATAAAGCATTTCATTAAGATTAATTAAGATGGACTGACAACTGATACAATACAGAATTACCCCCAAGAGGTGCAAGTTGCTGACTCAAAAACAAAATAAATTACAATGTAGCCCAGAATAAGTTTTCCCTATTTACCCATTGATTGGCTAGTAAGGTCTGCCAGGCCATTAACCGATCTCCTCTCCCATTGAACTCTAACTATTAAATTAGAAGTTAGCCACTTGAATCTTCTCATCGCCCCCATGAAAGACCAAGTTACTGTCTCCAGTTATTTCACCCATCCAATTACCAGTTTAGAGTCTCCTTCAATGGCCAAATTCCTAAAGTTCAACTCTTTAGCAGTTTGAGCTCCCTATAAAACAGCTTCGACCTCTGCACTAACCACATCCGCCACTCAAATTGGACCAGAGACTAAAGCAACAATCTGGCCCTTTGTATTCCTAAATACACCTCCAATACTAGAGGGCCCAGGATTACTCAGGCTGCTCCATCAAAGTTTAGCTTTATGAAGCCTTCTTCTAGGGGTTTCTAGGCTAGAACAGGTTTTTCCTTAACCGAAGAAGATTTAGCAACTAATTCCCAGTTTCTCCATATTTCATCAATGGAGAAGAGTGAAAATAGATCCAAAGCTTTAGCACAATTAATAGCCCTAATTAGCGGGCAGCCCCAAACAGTAGCCTCATCCCTTTCTTAATCATTGAAAATTCTGTTATTTCTTTCCTCCCGAACTGTCCAAACTAAAGCAGCCCTAACACGTCTCCATAAAACTCTCCCTCTTCTCTTAGGCCACCTGAAAGTTGTAGGATCAAAAAGCCCCCTCATTTGCAAAGGCATCCTCCACCTGCACCCGAAAAGACCAAAGATTATTTTCCAAAGTTTCACAACAAAGGAGCAGGATATTAGAATATGGTAATAGCTTTCTCTCCATTTGCTTTGACAGGAAACACCAACTTGGGGAGATACAAAGGTTGGGTCTTTTCTTTTGTAGATTATCCAGAGTGTTTAATTTCCCAAGAGAAACTTCCTAATTGATGTGTGTGCATGCTACACATCATTTTTATTGCTTTATACATGGTTTTGATGATGATTTTCAATGGTTTGTACCCTAATTGAGCAGAATTTCAGGAAACTAAGTTTGGGACAGTCTAGGGTGAAGAGAGCGTGAAGACATATTGATATGGCTGAAAGGGAAGCATTTCGGCCCATCAAGAAGAAAGGCCCAGCCAAAACCCAATGGGAGAGCAGCCCAACAGCAGTTCGGCCCACCAAGGAGAGAGGCCCAACAGCAGCCCAACCACAGCCCTAAGGGAAGCTCCAAAAGGCGGCTAACTTTAGAGAATTGAAAAAAGGCTGAAAAGAAGAGTATAAAAAGAAAAGGAAAAGAGGAAATTATGGTTCGGACCCCTGAAGACAAAATCAAAGAGAAGAAGTGTTGGAGATGGAGAGAAGGCTACTGAATGCGAATTGAAGAGGAGATCGAAGATTGATGCAGAAATCCTAGGTTGTCTTCTTCTTTGATTCTGCGAATTCGGTAACCTAGATTCAATTAGGGTTTCATGGTTTTTCTTTGTTGAATCTTTCTTTTCTTCTTTCTATTATGCGAACCATGATGGATGTTAATTCAGATTTGTAATTAATCTTTTAAGCAGATCTGATTGATTGTGATTCATTCTTGAGATTTCTTGATTAGGGTTTTCGATTATAAGAATAATCTTGGCCGAATTGTTCTTGTTTCTTGGATTACTTGAATTGCTTGAGAAAGGGTTTAGGTAATCAGATCAACTAATCAAGAAAATGGATTGAATGCATCTTAGAGATAATATGCATAATTCGTTGGCATTCATTCAACTAGAATTAATTTCTGTTGAATTCCTTGTTCTTAATGCATCTATGGCGATTAAATTTCTAATAGAGATATAGGAATTGTTGCTCATAGATAGAGTGGGCTGTGCTCGAGAGAGGCTGCTCATACAATTAGGGTTTAGCCAACCTAAGACTGAATTCACTTCGGTTGGACAGCTTAATGATTTAATTGCTGAACCGGTTTTGCTAGTTTTTGCATGCAGTAATTCTTCTCATCATTAAAGGTGGTCTGATCCGAGAATGCTTAGGGTAGTTTTCTAATTAGGAGTTAGGTTTTTCTTTGCTTAATTTTTCGGTTTATTAGATAACAAAAGGCTGATTCAGTACTAGTAGTTGTTGGATCAATCCCCGTGGGAACGACACTATACTCATCATTATATTACTTGATCGGCTAGTGCACGTGATAGTGTCTTCTAAGCGCATCACTAATAAAGGGCTCTAACCTTAAGGGGAAAGGGGTTAGACCAAATTTACTTACAAAATAAAGGATGAGGGTTAGGGACAGAACACAACTGAGAGAAATCCAAACAAAGCAGCTTGATTAAGCTGCATTCAGGTTCAGATTCTAGCATCAGGTTTAGAGAAATCCAAACAAACAGTGTCAAGGGTTTTGAGTAACAAAGCAGCTTGATTAAGCTCAGAGTCTCTCAGGCCTCTTCTGAACTCTACATTCCAACTAATACCCAAGGACCGGGAGAAAGAAACAAACCTTTGAATAGGTTCATTTTTAAAAAGACCTAGAGAGTTGGGAGTCCAGATTCTAGCATTAGGTTTCGAGAAATCCAAACAAACAGTGTCAAGGGTTTTGAGTAACAAAGCAGCTTGATTAAGCACAAATTCTCTCAGATCTCTTATGAACTCCATATTCCAACTAAAACCCAAGGGCTAGGAGAAAGAAACAAACCTTTGAATAGGTTCGTTTTTAAAAAGGGAAAGGGAATACAAAGATGGATAAAGGTCCTTAAGGATGGAGTTACCAATTCAGGTGTCTTCCCAAAAAAAACCCTATGTGCACACATCACACCTGATGAGGCTGAGGAATTGGGGAAGGATACCATCAATAGCCTTCCACGGAGAGTTCAAAGTAGCCACCTAGACATTCCAGCATCCCAACCATTACAAGTACATCCATGAATACTTTTTTTATCAATAACAAAGGATTTCATTAATTAAAAAAAAAAGGATAGAAAGGGAGGAGATAACCTCACTTATCTCTCCCAAACAAGAAAAACAAAGCAGAAAAATAAGAGTTGAGCCCAAAACAAGTTATCCCTATTCACCCCTCGCTTTGCTAACCCATCAGCAAAGGAGTTTGCACATCTCTTAACCCAAATTACATTAACTTCCATCGCTTTTGTCAGCCACTTGAATTTTTTTCTTTTCATTGTTGTGCATCCACGTCCATGAATACTTCTTACAACTTTATGCCAAAGCTTCTCTCTCCCTCTCTAAAGGCCATCTCCATAGCCATTTACCCAATAAAGCTATAATCAGTGTTTTAAAAGGCACGGGAGGCGTATGCCTAGAGGCGCACCTCCAGGCAAGGCGCTCCCAAAATGCCCTGAGGTGTATGCCAGAGGCACTGACACCTCTGAGGCATATGCCTCAGGTGTAAGAGGTGTACGCCTCATGCTCTTTTTCATGAGGCGTGCTAGAGGTGTACGCCTCATGCACACCTCATATACAAAGACTAAAAAAAGAAAAAAGAAAAAAAAAAGGAAAGGAAAGGAAAAGAAAAGAAAGGTAAGGGAAGGGAAACAAAAAGAAACAAAGAGAAGAAAAAGAAAAGAGAAAAGCAAAGGGAAGAAAAGATAAGAGGAAAGAAAGTGGTCTGCCCCCGGCCCCCTCGGCTGGTGCATCTTTATTCTTCTAATAGTGCTATGCATCTTTGTTCTTAATATAAAAATTTTTATATTAAAAATAAAGAAAAAATGAGATCTCCGCTTCCTCTTCTTCTTCCTCTTGACCCCCCTCCTCTTAAGGAGGCGTGATCCTCCTTGTGTTCGGGAGGCTTACACCTCTTACGTTCTGAACTACGCCTCATGCCTCTAGGTAGTGGAATGCCTCGCCGCCTCCACATTTTAAAACATTAGCTATAATCTTCTTCCCCATATTGCCAATCCCCAAACTCCCTTGCTCCTTACTTTTGCATATTATATCCCACCTCATCAGGTGATCTTTTCTTCCTTCTCCAGGCTCCCATAAGAACTCCCTCATGATCTTCTCTACTTTCAGCACCTCCCTTTGTGGCATCTTAAAGACTAAAAGGAAGAAAACTAGAAGGTTTGCTAACGTAGACTTAATCAAAGTAATACAGACCCTAGGGACACGTAATTCCTCTTCTAAGCTGATAATATCTTGGCACATGTTTCAATAATTGGGGTTCAAAAAAACTTCCCTCCTAATTCCTATGGGTTGGCTCCTAAAGGTGTACCTAGATATTTCAACAGCCAATTAGTGGTAGGGCAACCTAAGGCCTTACAACCCCAACCATCTCCTCCTCCCCTAGGCTCAATCCCACTACACAACTCTTTTCAAAATCGATCTTCAGTTTAGAGACAAATTCGAAAAATTTTAGCACTTGCTTCAAATTACTTGCCTTCTGAGGATCAGCACTCACAAAAAATAATTGTATCATCAGCAAACTGCAAATGTGTAACAATTGTGCTCTCCCCCAACCCTCCAACCTTTAAAATGTCCCAAGCTATCAGCTGTAGAGATAAGACTACTGAACACCTCAGCTTTAAAAAGCCCAACCTTTGTGATTTATCAAAAAAAGTCCAACCTTTGTAAGATTGGTTGCCTAGGCAACTAGGCAATCCAGTGTTTCCTAGAATCCACTAAGAACCTTAACAACCATATTCCGTGCACGACAAACTTCTGAGGATCAGCACTCTCACAAAAAATAATTGTATCATCAGCAAACTGCAAATGTGTAACAACTGTGCTCTCTCCCCCAACCCTCCAACCTTTGAAAAGTCCCAAGCTATCAGCTGTAGAGATAAGACGACTGAACACATCAGCTTTAAAAAGCCCAACCTTTGTGATTTATCAAAAAAAAATCCAACCTTTGTAAGATCTGGTTGCCTAGGCAACTAGGCAATCCAGTGTTTCCTAGAATCCACTAAGCACCTTAACAACCATATTTCTGGCACGACAAACTTTACATCTAATCACTGCACAAATGAGGTAGATTCAGGCCAAAATATAACAGTAGCATGGAGATGTATGCATGTTTATGTCTCAGCTCATGCCAGCCCAGTTTGAATATTTACAACTTCCTTTTGATGTTAGATGTTTGATTTTCATTGCAAAACTGAGATCACCCATCAAATCTCCATTATTTTAATTCTACAATTTTTTTCTTTGATAATTATTTTAATTTTATAGTTTTCTCCCATCCATGATTTTGCACCAATTAAATGTCACAACTCCAGTTGATAGTCACTTTGCACAAAGAGTTAACATTGCTTCAAGGTTAATGGGTCCTCCAAATATATGAAAAGAGAGTAGCTTAACTTACTTCCTGGACTATAATAGATTGAAATAAAAAAAATTGGGCCAATAAATATAACAATAAATCAACTTTTTCCCACCCAATAAAGTTATATATCACTCTCCCTAGGTTCTGAGTTAAGTTCATAAAAAACCTCATTTATGTTTTTCACAATATACAAAAGACTATAACAGTACAGCTTGCTTTTGCAATCTATATCGAAATATACAAATAATTTAAGAAAGATAAAAGCATCTTGTATTTGGAATTTTGGAAGCTCCATCAAAACCAAACCCAACTTGCAAGATTCACATTTTCCTAGTAACAGGTAAAGATTTCAAATAAAAATGGACGTCAAAATTACCTGTATCAAAGGAAGTAAAGCTGCCATTACTGGAGGAGTTGAACATAACGCATGCTTTAAGTGCTCCATAGCATTATTGTAATTGTCATTAAGCATTCCCATATACAAATGAATTGATTCATCCAAATTATTCTTCCAAGTTGGAAGCCTTAGAGGTAATATACATGCATCCAACCCTTTCACAGCAAAAGATGAAAAATTATGTGTCAACATCGACCAAGGATGCCAAGACTTTAGCATATAATCCAATATTCCAAATGTTAACATTCATTGTGGTGGCTCCCTTTCTGGCATATGGTAATATATATTACACTGTTTATAGAAATCAATCTTAGTCTCCATTGCATTACCCTTCAAAAAAAACAGACTTTTTGCTTCTTTTTGTACCTTTTTCGTCCTTCCAACATATCTCATAAATTTCCCTAGTTACTAGTAAAAAGATTGTGTACATATGTAAAATAATCATACTTTTTGGGTGATGCACCAAAAATGGTTTTTTGATAAGTCAACAAAAATGGTTATTTCAACTGCAACATTTGAACACAAAAAGCCAAACCAGCTTGAAAAAGGAATATGCTATTGCATAAAGGACCCATTTGGGAGGGCTTCAGCTTCAAATTGAACTGCTTTCACTCAGCCGCATTGAAGAAGCTACTAAAACAAGCTTCACCAGAAAGCCAATTTTTTGGCCAAATGAAAGCATATTAAGATTTCCAGGTTTTTCACCAAACATAACTTCTACGCTATTCGTGTGGGCCCACCTTGCAAAGCCAGAAGCCACTGCATGAAATCCCTCCCAAACAAGCATTAAATATAAAATCCCAAACTCACCTTGTACAGAAAAAATGGATGCATATATCAAGTTGTCACCATGATCGATAAAAGGTGGTTCATTTCCACTAGCTTCAGCAGACTCCTGCATGTAGAAACCCCATGGCTGAATATTCTGATAGAGTTTTTCTTTTTGCCGGTAACCATTCCCATTTACAGGAACCTCTTTATCATTTCTAATAGAGGTTTCTGAATTACGTTGAAAAGGAGAATCCATTTCATGATTATCAATTCCTTTATGACCATCTGTGTTTTCAAGCAGGCTGATGGACCTCCCCACAGACATCTCCGCTGGCGTAGGTGGCTCAGGAATGTCAGAGGTTTTCAGCTTCATATCTTCTGGGATAGAAGAATACCAAAGTTCATAAAAGATCAACCCAATCATCAAATTTAAAATTGGGTCACTACCATATTCATTTTCCTGCATGAGGCTGTAAAGAAAGCAACGTGAATATTCATGATGATAACAACTCTAAAAACACTTCTAAATTATCTTTCCATGCATTTTGCAAACAAAATTAATAGCACTTCAAGAACAAGAATAGAACAAATAAACTACAGAATACAATAACAGAAAAAAAAAAAAGACAATATGCCTTTTTCCTTGTGTTTCTTTGTAACTAAGGCCCAAGGGAAACTGCTGTACAAAAAATTAAGTACAAAACTAATACTGAGCAAAAATACAAGGACATAGTGGCAAACAACTCTAGTTCCCTAGAAAAGTTAGGCAAAGAATCTCTTTTTCTTGTTCCTTTATAACTATTTTGTGGCTGAAGAAAAGGAAGGGGAATAGCTGTACAAGGTTGAAACTGATGATAAGAAAAATATACAAGGTATTGTGTGGCATTCACCTTTAGTTTCCTAAAGGAGAAAAGTGACTAAATGCCATTAGGTCTCAAAGATGTCTCTGGTTCTTTCTTGCAGAGATGCAATATATAGCAAAACGTGCCATCCTCCAAAGGAGTCTTCTACCAACAAAAGCCTTAACTGACGATTCCAAAAGGAAGACAAAAGGGTTCCAAAAGTACACAAAAAAAGCTCCAAAAAGAGGAAAAAAAATGCACCTAAACCTGTCTTTCAGAAGCATGCTGAAGGAGGTCATACACCACTTCCAGTCATTTTTGCACAAGAGATACATGTTGGTATCATTCTAGCTATGCCAATAAGTTTATAAATAATAAGAATTTCATTTCTCATCGTTGTCCAAATAACAAAAGACTCCTTTTGAAACTTCACTGCTCCAATAAGTTTATAGAAGAATGCAAATAAATCTTCTATTCAGTTTAGCACTATGATCTCAGTTGATTCATTTTCATTCATAACATGAGGAGAAAATTACTGCTGTTGGACCTAGGCCATTGTGCTACCTGCACCAACTTGTCAAGATGAGCAACAGAACTGGGAACTTCTGTAAAATTGAAGTTGATGCTACAATTGTAATCATATAAAATAAAATGCATTTCAGAGTCTCAGATTAACAAAGGGAGGAGAGCAAAATTTTGAATGAGGTACATGATATAGCATTGTCCATGAAGGTAACCTAGGTTAACAATCTATTTCCTTTATCTGTTGCATTGGAGTGTGCTTAGCTTGGAACACTTGGAAATTAATCTAAAACAACCCAACTTCAATACAGAAAGCCAAAAAATAAATATGGTCACAACTGTGCCATTGTTTGGATAATCCAAGTATTTAAGATATCCTATGGAAGCAAGTATAGAAAACTATGCAGTATAAATATTTCATTTCATTTTAAATTTAGGAAAAGTGGAATAAAAGTGTCAACAAATTTCATACCACATCATAGCTTGATGTGCTTCTTCAGTGTTCCTTTTTGTAAGACATAAAAGGACAAATTCCAATTGATTCACGCATCTATCCTGCCCAACATTTAAATGTATATGAGTATATTGTTATGCAACATGGTTCATACTCTGCATGAATATTTAAGCAACTAAGCTATGTCTGTGTATATAATTCCACCAGTATCAAGAAATTTAGTGTTGCGTTGTACATCCCAGGCCTAGATAAGCAGTTGAATTGGCACTAGGGGTTGGATAATAATATGGATCTTGGCCTAAAACCTACAAGTTGATATAAATATAAGCAGGCAGCTAGGTCTCCAAAAAGCACAGAAATCCACCATCTAGTCAAATAACACAAAGTCAGGGAATAGTGCTTGTGACTGACTGTTTAATCCACAATTGTTAATATACACAAATAGAAATAGTTTGGCCAGAGCCAGATATGTTGCACAACTCCCATTTGTTACATGCAAAGTGCAAGGGACACAAGAGTTGTTCTTATGAAAGTTTCTAGAAATGGAAAAGGAAAATTGAAACTGTTAAAAAGAGTACATGAAAGAATAAGCTAGAAGTCATAGATCCAATGATGAAACAGATAACCATGCCACATTATACCTTTGCTGGCAAATTCTTCATTGACCCATTCTTTCTAATCCAAATATCATAGATATGCTTGATCTTTGATAGTTTGATATGATACCCAGACATCTGATTAAGAAGCTCCATTGCAACCTAGCAGCAATTTGCAAGTATTATGATATCAAAGATGCGCAAATATTGCAACATTAAATCCATATGATTAGTCACAAAATATCCAAACACCTTAACCATTTTGATCAGTGGCAAATCATCATCTAATTTAAAAAGTTCAACATGAAATCCATTAGTTACAAAATTTTATATACATTCCATGGACATAAAATAGGCACCAATGCTAGATATGTTAACAAGACCAAATTATCCAACTCTTTACCCTTTTTGATCAGTGGCAATTCATCACCTTACTAATTCAACAAAGTACTAAGGAATATATTATCAATTTATCATGTCAAAAATTTTTTGTAATAAAAAAAATTATTAAAAGGAAGAAAGAAAATACAGGGGAAAGTGACCAGAAGTCACGAGAGAGAGAGAGAGAGGGAGAGAGAGAGAGAGAGGAGGAGAAACAGAACAGAACTTCAAGACTCAAATACAAATACTCCAAGCCAGCCTAGCCTCAGAAAGATCAGCAGAAACCAGAACCCACATAATCACCACAAGACAAAAGCCCCTCAACAGAAAAGGACCCCAAAAACAGCCCAAAGACAACTCAAAACTCAAAGCCAACAAGGACAAGTACCATTCAAAAACCCCACAAACACACATCTAAACTCGGAATAGACCAAAGCCAAAACCAACTCACAAGTTACAACCTTTGATCCGCTAAAAGACTAATATCTTCTTACAGTCTTGTTCAATAAGATCTCTTCCTTAAGTAAACCTTAGAACCAGAATCGGCTAGCAAAGTCCCATTACCATGTCAAATACTATTCTGCAAAAAAACCCTATAGAAAAAAGTATAGTATATAATAACTGAAACAAAAATACACAACTGCCAAAATTACAAGTAAATTTTGGGCCAGGATTATGTACACCTGGCTTTCATCTAAACCCACCTAGTGTAACCAGCATACTTCAAACTAATGGGTATAGCCGTGCCAGCACTTAGCACTTGGCAGCTGACATGACACTTCTTGTAACAAGTTTATGATGATGTTTCAAGCTGAAGTCAGAAAAATATTAGATGAGGTATGGCAAAAGACACATCCAATAAGTGTCAACCCTTGTATGTTTTTGATTGATAACGGAAAAGGTTTCATTGATTATAGTAGAAAGAATGCAAATGTACAAAAATTGTTTCAGCTATTGGCTAATTTTACTACCTAAAGAAATTTTTCAATACATTGTTTACAAATGAAGCAAAATATTACTCCCTTGTTGCCTCTTCTTTAGCCAGTGAGTCAGCTAAAGCATTAGCTGGTCTTCTAACCAATGCATAGGTTAATGGGTGATCATTAAGTCTTTTTCAGTTGCCTTTTCCCTTTTATGATCCAAATTTTCTCTTTAACCTGTTAATTATGTTAAACTCTTAAATTATTTGTGCAGTGCAATATTAACCAAGATTGTACCTTTCATGATTTATATAACTAAAACATTACATACACCTAGAGCCAC